ATCCAGCAGGAGAAGCTGCAGTCACAGCACAGCATCTGGCCTCTGCTTCTATGTGCCCTACATCCTTTCATTTCTCTGTTCCAGCATTACCCTGTTAGACCACAGCTTGCATTACTCTGTATTCTTTATTTGGTCGTTTTTATCCTTGCTGCCCGTCTTTACATTTACTCCTCTCGCATACCGAACGACCGAAAAAGAGGGTAAATATTTGGTTCTCCACCTGCAGGCGGGCGATTTCACTTATTCATGATCAAGTAGATTGAGAATGAAGTGCTTCCGATGACGCATGTTGCTTTTAAAGCTGGAGAATGCGGAGGAAAATTCCAATGTGCACACCTCACTCAGGCTCTGAAAGCCTTGTGCTGTGCGGCGAAACGAGTGGAGCGGCGCGCTCGGTTCAGCAGCCTCGAAGAGCGCGTCGGGAGGATTAAACACGCTTTTAGGATTCATGCAGCCTTCATATACGTTTTACAAAAAAATAGTTGTGCGGGTTATTTGGTCTTGGTGCATCGAGGATGGTGATAGACCAACTCGGGCCGATTATCTGGCATTTTCATTCTTCAGAGAATCGGCATTGGCCGCCGACTGTGCTCACAAGGCCGATAAATAAAACATGTCTTCAGACACATTCGCAGGCAGCCTTGTCAGTGTGGCTGTTATGGAACAATGTGCTCTGCTGAATTTTGGGAGGGTGGAGAAAAGAACTTTCAAGCTTCCTGCTGTAAACACATGGCTGAATTTCTCTTCTCTAAATATTGGCATCGGCCATTTAAAATCCGCTAACGGCCGACCACTGATCTAGGAGTGAGTGATGCACGTGGATGTCTTTGTGTTTTACAAGTAATTGTGTGGAAAAATGCACTGGACAGCCTTACGTTGAGAGGAAGGTCAGATCTGTGCTCTCTGCTGCAGATACAAAACTAGCATTCAAGCGGGAAAATGAAAGTGGAATACCGCTGTGGGACTGAGATAACACATCCCTCACAATACGCAGCCGCCACCTATTCTCTTTCTTCGAAAATCCATCAAAGGCTTCAAGTTGAAGTCTTAGTGCCTTGGCCTCTTCACCCCTGAAATAATGTAAGGGATTTTCTCAGGCTTAGCGTCTTTTCTTTTTCACTATTTGAGGGTAGTTTATCATAGCCACCCGACCTCAGGTTGCCCTTTAGAGAACAGACTGAGCCAGCTTTGGCCCTGCATCGTGTTCATGAATGGGGTCAGTCTATAACACATTCACAGGATGAACAAATAAACAGATATGTGGCGTCTTCCTTTTGTTGGCTCACAAATCCTCTGAACTTGAACCGTTCCGTGTCACTTTGAGTCTCCTTCTCCTCCTCCATCTCCCTATTTCTCTGCCTCCTTTTCTTCCGCCACACTCAAGTCTTCCTCAACCGTCCTTGGGAGGCAGGCTCATCCCAAATCCAGCCCTCCTACTGAAGTGATTCCTTTGAGTCTGGTGCGAGACAGCACTCAGAGCCCCCCCGTAAATCACAGACGTAAAGGGAGGTGAACAACCCACGCTTCCCACCGAAAACATGACACAAATTACAGGCCGCAACATCTGGTGAGTGGCGCGCGCCGAAACACGGCAGGGCGGACTGAGCACGTACAGCTCGCAAAAGTTCTTGCAAGCGGAGGAGTGGAGGACGCCACGGACGCCGAGAAGGGTTGCAGAAGAAGAACGAGCGTAGATGGTTTCTAGACGAAAGCGCGACCGCTTTATACGACCGCACAGGACTGTGGGTGACAGAAAGCACCTGCTCTCTGGCTCACTAATTAGTTTTTGGAAGCTGGTTTTTTATCTGAACCTTTTCAAAAAAGCCGCTGAGAGTCCCACTGTACCCCACTGTGATGTGACGGGGTAATTAAAGCACAGACAGATGTGCCTAAAGCAGGTTATCAACCGCTTGTCAACACCAGCGCCAATATTGAGAATCAATGTCACGTGTCAAGTTCCAGTGAGGCCTTCAGGGGACACAGATAAAGGGGGAGGCAGATATTGATCAGGCTGAAGTGTGTGTGTGTGTGTCTGAAGTCCTTCAGATGATGATGGTCAAGCACGCCAATCCTGTTAGATTCCTTGTAATTGAATACCTCATGTTATGTCAAAAAAGGTGGGTTTTTTAAAAAGATTATGGGGTATTATATTCTACGTGACCAGGAAAATATCATATATATCTATATATACACTGCCATCCAATGTAGTGTTGTGATAAAAGGCTGGAATTTGTGTTACTGTCGCGCTGTGCTCTCATATTTCCAATGTTATGCAGCGTGCAATGGGCTATAGACCATTAAGTCGAAGTTAAGAAGAGATCCTGTAAGTGAACAGATCCACAGCCCTGGTGCTACAGAAGAAATAAAAACAAAGACAACAGAAAACATGTAAAATATGCACTCTGGAGGGTGACCTCGTGCAAAACAATGAGTCATTAAAACAACAGTGTCTGAATCAGCTAATTGGACAACAGAGGAGGAGGCACGGCGCCAAGCGACAAGTCACAACCCACAGAGAAACAACAGGAGGGGACCATAATGACAGGGGCCGCGCATGAAAGTGCCAAAATCTGTCGTTCCAACAACCCGGCCAATTTGCAGGGTGATGCACACGCGGTCGGGAGGCACGACGCCGACCTGAACCTGACACTGGCTCCAGGGAGCAACGGCAGCAATATGTGGGGTTTAAAACCTAACGAGGAAACATCCATCCATTTCACTGCCAGGACCATTCCACGAAGAGGTAGATTCATCCGTCTCGTTAGGTCGATGGCTCCAATGATGATGACATTTACTCAATAATGCATCTGTTTCAGTGAGCACAGACCTGCACAGCTGTCATAGGAATCAACCTCACAACCAAACAGTCATACAGCTGAAACACTGTTAAAGTAGTCGTCGTGTGGTTCTCATATCCTTGGTTTCAGATGTCAAGACAGCCTAAAACATTCCCATTTCATGTACTACTTCCAAAGCGCCCCTCTAAAACGTGCCTTTAATGGTTATGCAGTTACGTCCCCAGCTTATTATATTAACATTAAAGCTACAAATACAAGCAGCTTGAGTCAACTTCAACCATACTGGACCCTTTAAAGCATCCATGTTAGAAAGAAATGAACAACTGCAGCTGACCACCTATTGAGTGGCAAGCAGGGAGATAAGTAAGTGACCTCTGCAGCCTTTAATCCACGCTCGCCATGCATATTTCAGTATATCTCATGTGATATACTGACAAACTGCTATAGGCGAAGTCCGGCAGCTATGGGGCCTCCCTGCTTACTTGTCAGACACATTCAATGGGCCGTGTGACTTCTCGGCAAACTGCAAATGAAAACGTTTCTGGCTGTCTACTCCATCATATTATAGCAGCACCTAAATGAGAACAACACACACACACAC